GAGATGTTGTCGGTACCCTTTCGTGATGGGACGACGCTGCCACTCTTATGGTACGTATTTCTTTCTGTTATTTTCCCTATAACCTCTTTAATCAAATCCGTCTTTCAAATCTTACAAATCACGGATCAAAACCAATGCCATTCCACTTTATATATATATATATATGTATTCTAAATAAAATTTGAAACAAATATAAAATTGGAACGAATTCACAGATTACTTCACACGTGAACCCTCGAATGTTTCTATCATTACCCAAATAGATTTTTTATTTGTGTTAATCAAATTCGTGGGGCCATGCAACATGTGGACTTTGATTTAAATCATATAATATAAAATAACATGGGGTTTTCCAATTAGGTTATGTCCGCTAACAACCAAATTGGTAGGCCAAATTGCATTTATTCTCCCTCGTCCTAATGTTCCACGGACAAAAACTTCAGCTACTGATATACTCCAACCAATGAATTCCATTGTGAAAAAAAAATGAGTAAAGTCTCCAGATTCCGTTCCAACTCACTCTTTTTCCTATATATATATATATATACATATTATGACTGGTTTTCATCCACTAATGCCCATTTCCGTTATATATACAAATATTCATCAAAACATAGTTACAAGTTGATAAACACTATACCAAAAAAAAAAAAAATCAAATCTAATGGACAGATGCATCTTGTCCATATACGGACCAAATCGCATGGTATATGTACGTATGCATTTTTTGTCGGTGCAAAAATACGTGCTATGGAAAGGAGTAGTGGAATTATCTTTGGGGGCTACGATACCATCCACTCGTGTGGAGGAAATAAAAATCAGATAAAATAAAACTCAATTCTTACGAGACGACGGCCACCGGTACTATTTGAGAGGAAATTTGATTGGAAAGTTTTGGGAGCATACGATACGTACGCCGCCAAACATTATCGCTTCGAACGACAAAAATAAACAAAAACGTGACGAAGGGAGTCCCGTGGCCGAAGGGGAATCTGGCGAATTATACTTTGAAAAGAGACTCTTGTCACGGGGGCTTCGACTTGTGAGTGATGCCGACCTCTCCTTTTGAGTTTTGGCCCGTCGCCTCTCTATTTTGGCTGATTCCCTCTCTCCCTTTGGGTGGAATGTTTTGATTCAATTACGCCAAATTCCACATTGTGAGGTTGGACCCTAAAAGGGGACGAGGGCCCAAATGAAAACGCGTCGATACGTTTACAGGCCCATGCCCTAAAAGGGACGCGCATCAGAGCTCCATGAAAATGGTGAAATATATCATAGCAAAGGCAAAGCAGAGTGCCTGAATTTTCAACAGGGATGAAGAATACAAAGCCCGCGAGGTAACGATCTACGGAGGTAACAATTTAGATTATAGAAACAGACTTTACCCACAATTGGGATGCTCGCGTTTCGATGATTAACCGTTCTCACTCATGTCCTGTAAATTCAATCAAGCACGGGGTAAGCAAAAAGTTACAATTTTTTTATGACCCATTTGCCATTTCATGAGATTAGTCTCTGGACATGTGAAGCCACTAACCTGGTGGTGTTGTTTGTATAAATGGACTGCATACCCACGCGGTGTGTATTTGCATCAACGGCGGAAGGCATTGCCTTCAGCCTCGGACCCACGCTGCGAATAGTAAGCTCTGCGACGAACACTTTCTTCGATAGTCGAGCTTCCGCCTTTCTCAGTTCCATATACGCTTTTGTGAGCAGCGTCCAGAAAGCTTTTGCCTGCACGTTGTACAACACTGTCCTGGTTAGATTCCCGCTTGTCGGCTTCATCCGCCTTCTTCAATCTTTTATATCTTTGCTCATCATGCAACTCCGCATCCATTTGCATTTGCCTCAGTCTAGCAGCTCTCTCTTCCTCCGTTAGTTTCGGGGCAGTTTTCCGTCGTCTATGATGAATTTCATGTTCCCTTTCTGCAACTGAACCTCTACGAGCGGTTCCATCCTCCCTGTCCTTGGAGGCATATTTTTCTCGATTTGAATCCTCATCATTTCTTTTCCTAATCTCTTGATTGTAACTCTTGTGATTGTCTCTTTCTGGGCGCCGGAAAGGCGAGTTATCTCGATGCTTCTCCTTGTCTCGAGTATCCCTACGAATCTCTCTTCTCTTCGATTCATCCTCCGAATCAGATCTCTTATGACTGTCCCTCTCTGATCGCCGTAAAGGTGAGTGATCTCGGTACTTTCCCTTGTGTCGAGTATCCCCACGACTTTCTCTTATCTCTGCTTCCTCCTCCGAATCTGACCTTGTTCTCTCATAGCGTTTGTCATAATTCCTCGACGTTTTGTGACGGGATTTTCTTCCTTTACTCTCTTCAGCAGAATCTTCTTCTGAATCAGAATAGTGCCTGGATGAAGAATGTTTGCGTTGCTTCGACCCACTACCATGATGCTTTTTCTTGTGCTCCTTCCCATCTCCATCTTTCACCTTTTCCTTTCCTTTTACCTACCAAGAAGACAATCTCTAGCACGTAAATAACTCAACTGAAGGGGAAAACACAGGGGATTTGAGTAGAATTATAATAGTTACCAGAGATACAGGAACAAAGCATAACTGAAGACGAAGAACTTACAGATTTGCGAATCATGGCCATCTTTACAGGGTTGTTCTTGATCCGCGTAAGTGCTTCTTGCTCACGCTGCCTGATAAGAAGTAAAGGGTCGGAGTGGAGTTTGCGCCAGGCATCATTCGCAGAGTGTGACTTATCCTCAAACAACGCACCAGGAGCTGACTGTTGCTGCTGTGCGTTATTGCTAATATTACTGGTATCAGCTTTGGCTGGTTGTTCTTGAGTTTGAAACGAAACACCATGCCCTGAACTACTGGCATTTGGCTTCCCTACCGCAAGCCCTGAATCGTATAGAAACTCCAGTCTTTCCTGCCTCCTGCAAGAAGAAACATATACAGTTTCGTAAATAACTTCGATTTTATACCACCGTATACGTCGCGATATTGGGCAAAAACTAAACCCAAAACCCTAGACAGGCTACAAAGCAAAACCGATCTATTACAACCGGTAAAATTCAAATTCCACCGCTAATTACCATTGATACCTCTCAAATGACATTCTGAAAAACATTCCGAATCGATAAGATTCAAAATTTATTTCTAGCGTTGAATCCTAGCCCTAATCCCCAATTCAAGATAACAAGCGATTCGAATTCGTTCGAACGCAAGACAAGAGAGGATAAACACTTACGGAGCGAGACCGGCCTGTTCCTGGAGAGCGCGAAACTCAGAACGCTCCCTCTCCTGTTGGATCTGGAGGCGGAGCTCCTCGAGCTTCTTCTGCTCGGCTTCGTTCTTTTGCTCGGCCTTCCATACGTTCTCTATGTTACGGAGACTCCCCGTATGCCATCCCTTCTTGTTCAGAAACTTCAACGCCATTGTTTCTTCTTCTTCGTCTTCTTCCTGTTAATGGATCCTGAAGCGTTGCAATGTCTCCTCTTCTCCTATATAACTCGGTGGATCGTGTTTTTGCCAGCCGCCAAAGGGAAGGGAAACGAAATCAGAGCCGCTCGTTTCAAGACGGGACGATGAATTAAGATCTTGACACGTGGAGCATTAGTTTAGCCAATCCAGCCCATAAATGTGTCAGTGGGCCCGACCTTTAGGCCCAACGAGGAGCTCAACTTGTAAAATTAGTTTACATGAGGGACTTTTCTGTTAATATATAATTCAACAGTGGCATTTTGCAAAACTGAAAAATCTTGAGGGTTGTCTGTATTTTCGATCTGCTTCAATTTCATGAATAGGCGGAGAAGAAAGAAATTATAAGAAGCAGAGTTGAAGGTACTAGGATGAATTTCTTCTCCTTTTGCTTGTCGTCTACGATCATAATTTTGTCTTCTCTGTTTCTTATTCCAATGTCTTATGGTAAAGCTCAGAATCGGTAGAGATGGCGAGTGAAAACCCTGATGTTGTTGCTCCGGCGGAGGAGAATACTGGGGCCGAGCCCTCCAATGGAAAAGAGCAACAATTGGCTTCGGAGCTGTCGAAGAATCTAGGGCTTGCGGATGGGAATGAAGATGAAAAGGAGGAAGAAGACGAAGAGGAGGGAAGCAAAGGTAAAGCCTTTGCTTTATCCGGGTTTGATTGATCATGTGGTTTGAATGCCTATTCCTAGTATTCGATTACTTCACGATCTGGGTTTCAGCCCAAGTTAATAGATTGTCATATAATTTGAGTTCTTGAATCTGGGTCACTTGTTTTGATAAATCACTA